ATTGGAGAATAGGTGGACACCCTCTTCTCTGTGACAGCTGCTCAAGTATTGGAAGGTGTCTGGAACAGTAGAGGGTCTTCTGTTGAGCAAGAGGTTGGACTAGAAGACCTCCAGGGTCCCTTCCCACTCTTATTCTGCATTCTGAGATCCATACTCAAAATAAGGAGGACGGCTTCCCTCCAGAATTTGTGGGTGCTCCAACCCTGGAAGTTTTCAAGAAGAGACTGGACAGCCATTTGTCTGAAATGATATAAGGTCTCCTGCTTGAGGGGGTTGGACTAGATGACCTCCAAGGTCCCTTCCAACTCTGTTATTCTATAATCTCAGATCAATGAAACAGTGGATGCTCCATCCCTGGAGGTCTTCAAGAAGAAACAGGACAGCCATTTGTCCAGAATGATACAGGGTTTCTTGCTTGAGCAGGGGGTTGGACTAGAGGACCTCTGAGGTCCCTTCCAACTTGGTTATCCTGCGTTCTAAATATGTTGGAGGATGGCTCAGTTTGAGAAAGAACCGAGTGGTGATTTTCACTTCACCTGGTTTAAACCTCTTCATGATATGCAAGGAAGGCATAATGGTTGCCTGCCACCCAGGTCCAGCTTTTTAGATAATCTAATTAAACGAGGTTATAGATATTTGCTTCTCCGTCTGTGTGGCATTGTGTTGTTAATTGTTTAATTAAGGAAATGGGAAAAGGAAGAGAATTGCCTCAGCCTCTCGGGAGATGTCGAGATCTGTAAGCCATAAATGCACATTGACTGTTCCAGCCCATCTCCTAAGAACCCCCAAATAATTAATTGTGGGATGACTGGCATGGTGAGAGCATCTTAAATCATATCAAAAAGGATTTTTGGCATAGTTTCCAAACGGCTCTTTAAGGGATCTGACCACAGGCCTGTAGGGGAAGGAGAGAAACAAGGTGGGAAAAGTGGTAGAACTGGAATTCAGGACAACCAAGAGTGAATCGAAGCCCTGTGTTGAGTTGGACAACAACTTTTCCTCAAGAGCATTTAGGGGTTGAGTGCACAACAGTTTTTTGCTGACTTCCAGGCTGTTGGCGGAAGACTGAATGTGTGCAAGAAAGATGCAAGCTGCAATCCTTCTTTGAGAGGCACCATAAGGCTGGAGAACATCTGGAGAACATCTCCACAACCTGCACCTTCTTGATGGAAAAAAAGACCTTATTGAAATAGAAGGTTGGGGGGTTTTTTGGAGACACGTTGCTATGGGTTTGTGGGCCTTGTGGGCTTGCACATGTGTGTGTAGGCACTCAGAGGAATTCCTTGAGCCTCTGTGCAAGTAAATGACTGGCTGATCTATGGGTAGAAGAACACCATCTGGAGACTGGGTTATAATTAGCGAGGGATGTAATTAGCTTTTTTGAAATCTCTTGAGTTGTGATTTGGCTGTAGATGTTTGGAGAGAAGATTGGAGAAGGGACGAGAAGGCCTTCAGTCCCCCACTAAAGAAGGACAAGATCTCCACTTAGAAAAGTTCTACCTCTTCTTCTCTGGAATGCACGTCCTCATAAATCTGCGGTGGGTTGTCCTCACCGCTTCTTTGTCTTTGATGTATCTCCACAAGAGACATATCTGCTCTAACCTCTTGTGAACCCTTGCCATCAATCTGTGGGCTTCTTCTTGAGAACAAGATGAGGGGCCACCAGCTCTTAATACGTCCAAGGAAGTCCACGCTACGTGTGTCGGTGTCTGTTTGGGTGGACCGAAAGAGAAGGAAGAGAAGGAATGTCTACTGCTTAGAAGGTTGAATGTTTGGCTAAATAAAACTCACGTTCTTCTAAGTTCTCCTCAGTTGGTCTTCTCAATGGCCTGCAAGAGTCTCCATGTTCCTGCCAGGCGTATTCTTGGAGATGAGCCACCCTCTTCTTGGTATTTGTATTTGTATTTAATTTTATTTATATGCCGCCCAATCCCAAAGGATTGGTGATGGAGATGGATGGACTGTGGGAACAACGACCTTCTGACTCCATCATTTGGAGTCCCAATTTGTCATCTTGACCCTTAACGTTGGACCTTCTCCCTTTATCAATTGTACGCCCAACAACAGCACTTAAAAACCTCTGCTTTTCTGAAGGTTCCTCCAAAACTAGCTTATTCTACTGATTTTGGGGGGACTGTTCTGATTATTCCTCCCTTTCGGGGTCTTAAATTGGGCCAATCACCAGGAGACGGGGAATTCTAGTCCCGCCTTAGGCACAAAAGCCAGCTAGGTATCTATTTATTATAGACATTGATTATACAAAATTATTAATGTGTTGTGTATTTGTGGAACTGGTATTATGATGTATTTATGAGTTACATGTTTTCTTTAACTTAAGAAACTAACATATTCTAAAGTCTACGTTGTTGCTATTATCTGATTGTTCGGTGTGCACATCTTTCCTATTTTTAGTTTTGTATCTTCTCTTTTGTTAAACAAAAACAAGATTATATCCTTTATTGTATCCCTGTTGAAGAGAGATGAAAGTAACTTATTTTTTTAACGTTGTTTTTGGTCTTTTTGCTTTTCTGTCACTTTAGAACATTTTCCTTGTTGTTCCCTATCCCTTTGAGTTATAATTTTATTTTTATATATATATATATATTTGAAAACGAATAACATTCTTAAAAATAAATAAAACTGTTTCCTGGGCCTTATGCTAGCTTTTTTCCTCTCCGCTCCGGTGGAGATATTAAAAACAAAAGTTAGCAAGAGCAGATGCTGAATTGGAAAAGCAGGTGGCGTGCGAAACGGGGGAAAAAATTTGCTAGGATGTACATCCTGGAAACTGACCAGCCCAAGCATTTTGTTCCTCAAAAGCAGCCTTAAATGGCTCCGTTTTCCTTGCAGGAAGCGGTGGGTGCCAACAACACACATAGCTACAGATGGCTGGTGAACATCGTGAGCTATAAAGTTCTAGCAAACTTTATGACAGTTTGCACCGTATCTGCAAAATAGACACATTTGCAGAAATCTTTTATTCTCTCCCTCTCTGTGAATTTGGTTGTTTTCTTGCAGACGTTTCATGACCCAACTAGATTATATAATCAGTGCTAGAAGGGATTGGGTTGCAAAGGGGAGGAGGAGGAGGAGGAGAGGAGGAGGAGAGGAGGAGGAAGAGGAGAAGGAGGACAATTGTGGGGTCCTTGGTGCTGAGGTTGGTGGTTTTCCTGCAGATGTTCAGAGATACTAACAATGCAACCTGTATTAGATTCAAATTCCCATTATCCACCAAGTTGGATGGTAGTTGACCTCTGTTTCAGAAGCCTGATTTTTTTTTAAATGGAAAACTGATTTTATTTTTAAACTTTTGTGGGTCCAGACAATCGTCTGGAGACCCCAGAGCTACTTCACACGCCAAGAGAAAACGCAAAGCTCCCTTCTCAACATTGCAGAGGATTTGGCTTGTATAATGTCTTTATTTAGGGAAATAAATCACCCTCAAGTGTTTTTTTCTCCCAACTGCCTGAGGCAGCTTACAAAAATTAAAAGCAACAATTCCATCGATAAAGGAGCTTAGAAACATTTAATGGGGGGAAAAAAGGAGGAGACGGGAGGGAACCCAGCATCTGAAATCGATAAAATTGATTTTAAATTTAAATAGATTAAAAACAAGAAGGGACAAAAGCCACAGTGTTAAAAATATAGGGAGAAGGGAGGCAGATGGACTCGTTTAGTGACGGCCATACTGAGGTCGCTAAGTCCTCAGGCTCAGCCCTTATTTTCCCGAAAAGGAGATTCTGGTCTTCTTTTACCAAAATTTCTAAAAAAAACAAACAAACAAAAAGATTTTTTTTAAAAAATGTTTGAGACTCTTTCTCCAGGAGAGGGGATAAATTTCTGAAACGGAGCATCCACATTTTGATCTGCTAAAATTTTCCCCTTGATTCCCGCAGAATAAAAACTCTGCCTTATTCCTGGTTTGAATTTTTCTGGGCGATCCTGGTTTGTTTGGAGGTTATTTTCCTGAGCTGTCTTTAGGATCACATATTTGGGTTTTGTTTTTTTTCTTCCTGTGCTTTGATTTTTCTTGTCTCTGGTGGTCTGCTGGGCCCTGCGCCTTGATTTAGGTATTATTTTCTTGGGGGGGGGGGGAGAAAAATTCACATTTCAGCCAGTGCTGTGTTGAACTGCATGTCTGAAAAACAGTGCTGCTTTCGAGGCGCTGCGATGCAGCCGTGAATGTGATCTCCAACAAACCACAATCAACCCGGATTGTTTAGAGAAAGCGACACCACGGGGCCCAGATCCTCACTGGACACGGGTTTTTTTTTAGGAACCAGCCAGATGGACATTAATGGCTCGGTTGAAACTACATTTCCAGAGTAAAAAACACGGATTTATTTATGTCCGGGAATCGACTCTGTTCAAGGAAAAAAATCACATAATTCAAATAAATCATTTCTTAGTTTAAAAAAGACCCCAAACATTTAAGATCGCTTTTTTCCCCAAAAGTTTGCTACAATACAAAATGTGTTTGCGGCTTTTTTAATATATATATATATATATATATATATATATATATATATATATATATATATATATATATATATATATATATTATATATATATAGTAACCAGAAATACTGACTTTACGAGAAGACGCAGCCCTCACCCTTCCTAAGATTTTTGATGTGTCCTTAAATTGGATTTTTTTTCCGAGTTTGCCCCTTTCCCCCCCCCCCATTATGGCACATAATGGTTGTAATTGGCACAGTTTCAGAAAAGTTGGTGGTCCTTCCGGCCTTCCCAAGTGACGTCCACGTGCGGAGCCCGGTTCCCTCCATTTGCTCCCTTCGGCGTGCGAGTCTCTCCCCGTCCGTCTCTCGTGTGTGTGAAAAATAGTGCGAAAATTGCAGGGCGGGGCTAACATATTTATATTTATATATAGGTATAAATATAAAAATATATTTCACTGCTTTCAGTCTTCCATCAGTAAAGCACAAATGTTCGCTCTAGATCTTCCTCTTCATTTTAATGTTTGGTTGTTTTTTTTACAGGTTCACCAATGGAATCCTGTTGAGAAGAAAAGGTAAGTGGAAGGGGAAGGGAAAGGAAAGGAAAGGAAAAAAAGAAAATGTGATATATGCACTTTTTAAATTGTTTCTGGAAATGCATCTGTATCATGCAAAGCTGTGCAAGTGCTCCTCGACGTACGACCTTTCGAAGTGACAGCGGCACTGAGGCAAGGGCCGTAGGGCTGTTTCTCACACTCAACGACCCCTGCAGGGTCCCCCTGACCACGCGATCCCAATTTAGAGGCTCAGCAACTGGCGTGGACCCACGACGGTTGCAGCATCTCCCCGGGGGGGTCACGTGATCCCCTTTGGTGACAAGCAAAGCCCGCGGGGGAAGCCAGATCCACTTAACAGCCGTGTGACTCCCTTAACAACCGCAGCGATTCCCTTAAGAACCGTGGCCAGGGAAGTCGTAAAACGGGGGCAAAACTCACTTAACGACCGTCTTGCTTAGCAACGGACATTTTGGGCTGAGTCGTAGTCGTAAGTCGAGGAGCGCCTGCCGTCATCTGGAGAGCTTTTAAGCCATTTTATTTATGGGTGGGGAAAAAAGGAAATTAAAAAAGCGTGCAGAGGGAACAACAGAGGATAAAAATGGTCTCCTGGACAGAATAATTAGCAAACGCTCCAAAGTTCACCATTTTATTGCTATCAAACGTCAAACGCACGGTAACACAGAGAACCAAAACAATAGAGAAAAAGCAGATTTAGGCTTTTAATTCATTTCTGGGGTCAAAGTTGGCCGCCGTGTGTGCACGAGGCAGACCTCGGCCGTGGTGGAATTTATTTAACAGATGCCCATCTCTCCTACCAATGGTATCCGGAGAAGGCAATCGGCGGTAATGAAACGTAAACATTTGCAGAGCCGATTAAAATACAATTAAAGTGCAATTAAAATCTGTTAAAGAAATCAGAACACCTGCCCAGTACGCTTACATCCCATCTGCATGATAAAAATAATCTGATGATTTAATTTTAAATGTGAATTTATATGCATTTACTGTAGATTTTTCATATAATAAAGAAAGAGGAAGAGAAAGAAAGAGAAGAGGGAGGGAGGGAGGGAGGAAGGAAGGATGGAAGGAAGGAGAAAAGAAAGAATGAATGAGAATGAACGAAAAGGAAGGAAGGAAGGAAGGAAGGAAGGAAGGAAGGAAGGAAGGAAGGAAGGAAGGAAGGAAGGAAGGAAGGAAGGAAGATTAAAAATAAAGAATATATGAATAATCTTAGACCTTCACTTCACTTCAATTTTATTGTCCCTCTTCTTTCTTAAATATTTTACAAAGTTGGCATCTTTCAGTGGAACTCCTTGCCACCAGAAGTTGTGGGGGCTCCATCCCTGGAGGCTTTCCAGAAGAGCCTGGACATCCATTTGTTCAGAATGACATAGGGTCTCCTGCTCGAGCAGGGGGGTCAGACTAGAAGACCTCCGAGGTCCCTTCCAACCCTGTTATGCTGTACTCTGAGATCCATATTCAAAACAAGGTCTCCTGCTTCAAAAAGGGGCTGGACTAGAAGATCTCTGGGTTGCCTTCCAACTCTGTTGTTCCATGTTTGATGAATGCCTAACTTCTTGCTGGGGTCCCTCCGAGAAAACCTCCTTACCTGGCTGCAAAACGGGATCAACGTGACCCATAGATCTACAAAGAATCCACCACCACGCTCGAAGACATTTCCTTTGCCATTGTGAAGCCTTAATTACAATTTTAATTACATTTTCCCCCTGTTAATTGCTGTTTACGCAGGAGACAAATCTCGCCCAGCTATTATTCAAGGGGGTTATTTTCTGCCCATTCTCCGTTCCTATTCAGAGGGGTGTTTTGTTTTTTTTTCATTTGGGGTGAAAATATATATATATATTTTGTAAAGAGAGAGAGAAAGAAATGTTTAATCAATTAACATGGAGGTAAAGCTTTGGGGGTGATGCACGGGCTGGCCTCCGTGGGGGTTAAACTGGGGGTGGGGTGGGATTTTAATGGAAAGGGAAGGAAGAAGAGTCTCTTGCTTGAGCAGGGGGCTGGACTAGAAGACCTCCATAGTCCCTTCTGACTATGTTTTTCTGTCATTCTGTTAAGAGGAGGACACAAACTACAGTAAAGGCAGGATGGGAATTGGTAAGAACTAGATAGGGGAAGGAATCATAGAATCCTAGGTCTGGAAGGGACTTCAGAGGTCTTCTAGTCCAACCCACTGCCCGTACCATTTCAGAGAAATGTCTGTCCAGTCTCTTCTTGAAAACCTCCAGTAATGGAGCACCCACAACTCCAGGAGGCCAGCTGTTCCATCCAACCATCCGTCCATCCAACCTTCCATCCACCATCCATCCATCCTTTATCTTATCTCAGAATCATAGAGCTAGAAGGGACCTTAGAGGCCATCTAGTCCAACTTTTTGCTTAAGCAGGAAACCCTAGACTATTGTGGACAAATGGCCGTCCAATCTCTTCTTGAAGACCTCCAGTGATGGAGCACCCACATCTTCTGGAGGCAAGTTCTGCCCATCAGGTTTGGGTCAACTCTTCAAACTCATTTAGAGGGACCTCCTCAGGGATCTAACCTTGCAGGCCTTCCATTGGGGGGCCCCCTTGCCAGTTCTGAAGAAGCTTTTTGGATGAGAAGCGAAGCGTTTTCAAGGCTGAAGGCAAGGAAGTCCAGTGGCCTTTTGGGAAAAGCCCCTGTGGGACATCTCATAAAGTTCTTGAGAAGGTAGAATAATCAACGCCTCTAGAAGGACTTGAGAGTTTCTCACAGGACACATCCAGTGAGAGAAGGTTCATCAGATCCGTCAGGACCTCTAGAATATTTTTTTAAAAAAACAACCACTTAAAACTGCTAGAGAAGGGACTTACCATGGAACGGCTGCACGGCGTCCGGCTGCCCCCCCAGGAAGATAAAAACAGCATTTGGCCGGTCAACACGATATCTCAAACCATTTCTCCGATACGAAGGCCACAGGGATTAGATGGCGGTCCGAGGAGGAACCTCTGCACGGCAGACAAAAAAGGGGAATTGCAAACTTGGCTGAGAAGAATTTATTTTTTTTTCCTTTCCTATCATGCAAGGGGAAAAAGCTGCCTCAGATTCACAGTAGCTGCAATCAAACCACACATGGTTCTCAACTTACAACAGTCCGTTTAGCGACCGTTTCAAGGTTACAACGGCACTGAAAAAAAGGGACAGGATCGTTTTTCACACCGTCACTAAATGAACTGGGGTAAGTCAAAGACTTTCCGTATTCCAGAGACAGTCAAGGAGGAGCTGTCTTCAACCTCTTTCTCACACACAAAATATCTGAACTTTGTCCTTCATTGCTCCTGTGGAATTCACACCTGCCTGAGACAACATTTCATCCGAACGCAATTTATTCTGGGTGGGAATAGCCCAACTCAAGAATCCCTCATGGCACCGGACCCATCAGCCACAGCTCTCACCTATTTCCGTTGAAGGAGGTCTTATAGTCTCCCGGCGAGAGTATCGTCTCCTCGGCGTACATCGGGACGGGCGTCCTCACGCACTCGTGCGAACACTGGAGGGTTTCGTTGTAGGCCGTGAAGATGTCCAGATTGCTGGGCACTCTGGCTGGAGTAAAGTCCGTCAAGTTTTGGCAACTCTCTTCCTGCTGTTTAATTTTCCGCTGGTGGCCGTTCCGACGGGCGTTCCCCCTCTGCGCACAGCTGGAAGGGGAAGAGAAGAGACCAGTTGAACAACATCTGGACTTCTAGTCCGACCCCCTGCTCAAGTCGGAGGCCCTTACAGGACAACAGAGTTGGAAGGGATCTTGGAGGTCTTCTAGTATCTAGTCCAACCCCCTGCTCAAGCAGGGTTCTTCAACTTATGCCGACAAACGGGTCAAGCGACAGCTGGCGAGAAGCCACCATTCTATGAATGCTGGTTTGATTTGAAGGAAAGAGGCCAACGGCTTTGTGACGGAGCATCTGTGCAACCGGCTCAGCCTCGTTCAGCACAAAGTCACATCCTCTGCGATTTTGTGCTCGGCAGAGTTGTGAGCCCGTCTGTTCTTCTCCAGCGCTCCGCGGGGGGGGGGGGGAATAAGAAAGGTGGGATTTAAAAGCTGTAAATAATTCATAAGAAAAGTAACACAAATGCCAAACTGGTCCTGGCGTGCCTGAGAGATGGCAATTACCTGCAATTCCAAATTTAATTATCGCTTTTTAGTACCTGAGAAAGAAGTGCTCGCCACGAAGCCAGATCACTGGGCTCCGGGTCTATTTTATGCATGTATTTATTTATCTTCCATAATCCGATCTCGAATTTCCAACGATGGCTGTTGTAATTAAGGGGAAATTACTGACGCTAAGTACCGTGTCCGTGTAAGCAACGACACCAAGTTTAACACTGTGCTTGTTGAGATCATTTAGGATGCGTGACACATCGCCCAATTTGTCACAAACTCAGACACTTCTCCCCTGCATGGGGCAGGGGATTGTCTTCTCCCTTTGTTTTCCATTGTCCTTGTGTTCTTGGGGGGGGGGGGAATTCCTCCTCGACAGATGGAGCCCCCTCCCACACACACCTGGCATGTGACCCCCCTCCCAGATTTTGGACTACGGAGATGAATTTTAACATCTGTGCAACTCTGGAGGTGCTCCTTCAGTTGAGATTTTCAAGAAAAGATGGACGGCCATTTGCCCAGAATGGCACAGGGTCTCCGGCTCGAGCAGGGGGATGGACTAGAAGACCTCTGAGGTCCCATCCAGCTCTATAATTCTATGACCTACGTTAAATACTCACAAATGATGATACGGCCTCATTTAGTTGCCTCCAGAAATCGTGGGCGTTTCATCACTGGAGATTTTTAAGAAGAGACTAGATAATCATCTATCTTAGATGGTATAGGTCCTCCTTCTTGAGCAGGGGGATGGACTAGAAGATCTCCAAGGTCCCTTACAGCTCTATTCTATTCTATTCTACTCTACTCTACTCTACTCTACTCTACTCTACTCTACTCTATTCCATTCCATTCCATTCTATTCATTTATTCCTATTCTATTCTATTCTATTCTATTCTATTCTATTCTATTCTATTCTATTCTATTCTATTCTATTCTATTCTAATTCTACTCTATTCTAATTCTACTCTATTCTAATTCTATTCTATTCTATTTTATTCTAGTTTGCCTTAAAACGAAATGAGATTAAACTTCTTGTTTCCTTTCTCCTCGGTTAGCTTGACTTTAATTTGCAGCCAAATCATTTTGAGGTTGATTTGTGTAACTCAAAGGTGGAGATGACAGAAAGTCGCAACTATTAGGAGCTGCCGGAGAGATCTGAAGCTCGTCTTGAAGGGGAATCATGAACTCACAGAGAAAAATATGTACTTTTGGGGGAGAAAATAGATAAATGAGTGATGTGGAGGTTTTTTTGTGTTTTTTTAACTGGTTGGAAATAGGATGACGAGAGACGAGAAATTCAATATAATAGAACAGTATCTGTGCTTGAACAGTTCAGAGAAAAAAAATGGATTTTATTTTTTTAAATTAGCAGTTACAATTTCCATCTATAAACAGCTGAAAGACAAAAAACCCAGGAGATAATTCAGACGTACAGCTGATCCAGCAATCTCCCTTCTCCTCCTCCCCCTGGAGGGAGGAGCCTGGAGCCTTCTCAACCAACCGACTTTGAATTGGTAAAGGTCTACCATTGACTTTTTCCACCTCAGCTCCAACTTCCAAGTCCTGTTGATGGTTCCTCAAGCAGAAAAGGAACCTCAAGTAGGCACTGAGTATTTGAGGTTCCTCAACCTCAGAAGACAGTTACGGGAAACCCATGTCTTTACAACTCTTCCTGAAAGGTCCAACGGTGGTGGGTCTAACCTTCTGAGAAGGTCCTGCTTGGTTTGTGGTACCTGGATCTCAGCAGGCTTTTACGTTTTATGAGACCTTCTCAACCAGCCCTAGGGATCTCCATCCTCGCCTGCTCCAGATCTGGAGCATTTGAGGAGCAAACAAGGAGACCAACGAGATCTTGTAAAGCAGCTTCCAAAGGCAGCAACCTTCTCTCTTCTTCCTCCTCCTCCTTCTCTCCCCCATCTCCAGTCCTGGCTATCATGTCCCAGGGGTTCTGCCTTAATATGAAAATGAGGCGAGCTGATCTCAAAGTAGGTTGAATTCACTAGGAAACGAGGTGACGGCAGAAAAGCCTGGAGCTAAGATATAACCTAGTTTACGCCACGCAGGAGCCGATCCACGAGAAGAAAAGGAAACTAATTAAGCCAGATGAGAGCTTGCAACAGAGAGGGAAGCAGGCAAAGAGGTCCAAGCCGGTGGATAGAGGCTACCCGGCGTGAACTCTGGATGTGGTCCTCACCCCCCTTCTAAGACCATCTTCTCCGAGAAATGAATTTGGTCATCTTTGTTGGGTTCTTCCCAAATCAGACCGGGCGACGCAAATTATCCTGCCCTTTCCTTCCAATTGTTGGTGCCCTGTGTGTTTGCATGTTTCTGTGTGTGATTACAGCCAAGGGTTTGCAGTCCTGATTGGAGCTGAAAAAAGTCCTCTTTGCACAGCCCACTGAAGGAGAAACGGAGAAGCGTTGAAGAGCTGAAGATGATTGTGCATAGAAAAAAGGTTTTGCAGAGAAGAATATTTTGCATACAAGAACATTTTGCATGAAAGAATATTTTGCATGGAAGATTTCTTTGCGTAGAAAAAATATTTTGCATAGAAGAATATTTTGCACAGAGGAATATTTTGCACAAAAGGATATTTTGCATAGAAAAAAATATTTTGCATAGAACCTAGAACGTATGTTCTCTATATGAAAAACTTTGGCAATCCAGCTTGCAAAACTCCTGGCAGTTCACAACACAGCTGGCGAACCCCTGGCTGGGTCTTCCGAGGATGAGTAAAAATGGCCTGCATTTCCAATTCGAAAAGGAACAGGTAGACTGCTCTCGTGCCGTGCGGCTCTCTTAAATCGGCTCTCTTAAATCGTCAGGGTCAAATACAGGACCAAGGACTCAAAACTCAGAAGGAAAATTTTAAAATTTTAAAACCAGCTCGGGCCTTCCCTTTCTTTCCGCTGAAGTTCCCTAACGGGGAAAGGGAGAAAATTGTTTGCAGAGACACTTCCCAGGGGGTGTAAATACTATTTCAGGTGGCTTTTCCATGCTGGATGTTTAAGAAGGATTTCAAAGAGAAAGGCGATGAAGAGAGGACCAAAATTTGCTGGTTGTAAGCCGAGGACCACCTGTAATTCCCAAATGGGTTGTCGGTTTGAGAATTGTGGCCGTCGCCCCCCCCCCAACACAACCCAAGCCACAGTGGGGGGGGGTCACATCTCCTTACCAATTTTTTAAGACGAGGGTCGTGATCAGCGCGGCAATCACCATGATGAGCGAGACGGTGATGGTGATGATCTGATGGAGCGCCAGACCTGGGGAAAGAGGAGAAAAGCTGAAGATGGGGGGGGGCAGAGAGGCGGGGATTCTGGGCGTCGCTCGGGGCCTCCCTCCAGCCCCAAACTCTGAGCCCCCCCCCCGGCCAAAGCCCCTCGGGGTCCGAGGATCAGCCAGTAAGGGAACCTCAAAAACATTCAGAGGAATCAAGAGGCGGAGGGCGGAGCCAGGTGGGGGGGGTCTCCTTGCAGACGTTTCATGACTCAACTAGGAAACAGGATCAGTGCTAGAAGGGAGTGGGGCTTTGTGGAGGGAAGGAGGAGGAGGAAGAGAAAGGAGAAGTGGAAAAGGAGAAAGGGAAGGAAGGAAGGAAGGAAGGAAGGAAGGAAGGAAGGAAGGAAGGAGAGGAGGAGGAGGAGGAGGAGGAGGAGGAGGAGGAGGAGGAGGAGGAGGAGGAGGAGGAGGAGGAGGAGGAGGAGGAGAAAGAAAGGTAGAAGAAGAGGAGGGAGGAGGGTGGTTGTGGGCTCCTGGTTGCTCTCTGAGCTTGCAGACCTATTTATTACATTTATCAATAGCTTTAGAGCTATTAACAATACAACCACCTCTTAAGTTTACACAAATAACATCACTCTATAAAGTATCTTAAAATACTAACGGCCAGCCTTCTAAAAACCAGCCCTCATAAAATATTCCTCTCTCAATTGCGTCTTTAAATAACCGGCAACCTGTCCGAAGTAAATAACCTTATCTTTCAAAGGCGGCAGCATTGCTCTATTCAAATCCCATCTAATCCTCAGTCCCGGAGTTGATTCTTCTTTTTATCCGGTAAAGAAATGTCACAACAGCCTGAAATTTAGTCATATTATAGTCTCTAAACCAAGAAGTCCATTTCTCTCTCTCTCTCTCTCTCTCTCTCTCTCTCTCTCTCTCTCTCTCTCTCTCTCTCTCTCTCTCTCTTTCTCTCTCCCTCCCTCTCCCTCCCTCCCTCCCTCCCTCCCTCCCTCTCCCTCCCTCCCTCTCTCTCTCTCCCTCCCTCTCTCCCTCCCTCTCTCTCTCTCTCTCTCTCTATCTATCTATCTCTCTCTCTGCCAAGTCCATCAATTTCACATCAAATTCAAATTCCACGTTCACATCATCTCCTAATTTTTACTGATTAAGGACCGGTCAGTTTCTCTCAGAACCACCAACACCGCAATTGTTTTTTTTCCTGGGGCTAAAATGCCTCAGGAAATCTCGGCTTTTCCAGATAAAACTCAAATAAAAATAAGCAAGTTTGGAGCACACCGATCCGGGTTGCGGAGAAATTAGTGACCCTCGCGGGAAACAAGGCCCCCATCGTGTCGGCCCAGCTAAAGAATACATGTTTCTTGAAAAGAGCAACAAAGCACCGATCAATATAAATCCAATTTACTTTCATGTCTGCATTACGGCACAAGGCTCCGGTCTGCGAGGTTTCCATTTCTTCCAAAATAACCCCCAGGAACCCACCCTGTTTTCCAATTTTTAAGTTTTTGCACCCAGCCTCCTCTCTTTTATAGAGTTTTTAACCCCAATCTCTGTGAAGGCCCTTGCAAATGTGCCCAAAAGTGTTTTTAAAATGCCATTTTCTATAGCGTGCCTGTGTGTAATGACGATGACCCCAATTATGCATGCAACACGGAGAAATAAATGCATTTATAGGAAGTTTGTTTAGTGGCCATTTGAAGTTACAACGGCTGTGAAACAAATGACTTAGGGCTGTTTTCCACACAGTCATTGCAGCACCTCCAAGGTCAAAGGTTCAACATTCACACACGTGGCAACTGACTCGTACTTATGACGGTTGCAGTGTCCCAGAGTCACGTGATCTCCTTTTGCGACCTTCTGAGCAGCAAAGTCAGTGAGGGAGGCCGGATTCGCTTAATGACCAGCTGCAGTGTTTTGCTTAACAACTGTGGCAAGAAAAATCGTAAAATGAGGCAAAAGTCCACAGCTATCTCGCTTAGCAACAGAAACTCTGGGGGCTCAAATGTGGTCGTACGTCGAGGGCGATCTGACGACAGGGATGTGTCGCAGGAGAGACGTCCACTCACGCGCGCGCCCCCCTTTTTGAAAAGCAACGTTTTGCTTAAATTTTTATTAAGGTTCCTTACAATATAAAATGCAAAGAAGAAGATTAGAAGGGGGAGGAGGAGAAGGAGGGTGCAGGATGGGGGGAAAAAAATAAGAAAAAAATAACATTGGCTTCTGACTCTTTCTAGTGCACATTACCTTGCGTTTGGTTTATTATGAGCCATTTTGATAATGACACAATTACCAGCCTCCAAAATGCAGGCTTCTCCTCTTTTTCTCCCTCCCTCCTTTCTTTCTTTCTCCCTCCCTCCCTCTCTTTCCCACTTCTCTTTCTCCCCCCCTCCCTTCCTTTCTGTCCTTCCTCCCTGTCTTTCTCTTTTCCTTCCTTTCTTCCTTCCTTTCTTCCTCCCTCCCTCCCTCCCTCCCCTTTCTCTCCCTTCCTTCCTTCCTTCCTTCCTTCCTTCCTTCCTTCCTTCCTTCCTTCCTTCCTTCCTTCCTTCCTTCCTTCCTTCCCTCCCTGCAGCAGCCTGGAGGGGTAAAACAGTCCCAATTCAGTCCCAGGGAAGCGATCCCGGGCCAGGGGGGAGAAAGGCTGCCTGTTGTGGCCCCCGCCAGCCTCGAGGGAGAGCCGAGGACCACCCTTCCAGCTCCCCCGGGGCGGAGGTGTCATGACAGAGGCTGTTATTACCCTGTCAACTTTCCCCTTCCTTTGCAGCCGAAGAGATCACCGGCAATGGTTGTTTATGTTCATTAAGCCCCATTCAGTTCAAGGGCGCTCCACTTTGCTGCGGTGTTCATGCAGCCGATTGTCGCAATCTGGAGCTCAGGGAGAGAGTCGGCCGCTCGGATTTCCAGGTGGGAAACCAGCCACTTCAGCGGGCTAGAATTTTTTCCTCCAAAGATCACGGGACGCCCACTCTTCTGTTATCCTGCTCTGCCCTGCAATTTCCTCCATTGACTGGGTGATCTTCTCATGCTGAGGGAGGGAAGGAGGGAGGGAGGGAGGGAGGGAGGGAGGGAAGGAAGGAAGGAAGGAAGGAAGGAAGGAAGGAAGGAAGGAAGGAAGGAAGGAAGGAAGGAAGGAAGGAAGGAAAGCCTCCTTCTGATGCTGGTCCTTGGGGGAGGGTTTGATGGTCTAGTCTCCTGCTTGAGCATGGGGCTGGACTAGAAGACCTCCAAGGTTCCTTCTAGGCCTAGCATTCTATGCTCTTGTGCCAATTTTCTGGCCAAGAGAGGTGTGCGTAATCACCAAGGTCAGGTTTCTACGGAAAGGCTAGAACCGTCCTCCGATGAAGAATATCAGAAGCTGATTCATGAAAATGTCTGGGTTTGAACTCCGCATGTTCTGGAACACAATGATGGGGCCCCAGATGGTTTAGCTGGGCTTACATGTTTTATGCGATAGGGACAGCATCTGCTCAGAAACATCTGTCCTCCTTAGATTCACCACTGCAAAAGGGAACAACAGAAAGGACAATTCTTTGAGACTTATTTTTGAGTGTTGAGCTTCCCAATCGTGCAGATTATAGTAGGAGACTCCAAAACTTGACCACTTTTAAGACTGATGGACTTCCACTCCCAGAATTCCCCTGAGGAATTCTGGAAGTCCACCAGTCTTAAAGTGGCCAGGTTTGGAGATCCCTGGATTATAACAACATGCTAGAAGAGTCAGGAGATACTTGGGAGAACATCTAATCCACCTTCCTGCTCTGTGTAAAGAATCTACCCTGAAGACATCCCTTGAGAACAACTCTCCAGCCTCTGCTGAAGCTCCTCAAGCAAAGAAGAATCCACCCCAGTTGAACAGGTCTTCTCAAGAGGAACCCTTTCCCGAAGCTCAACCAACATCTGTCTCCTTGTTCTTTCTTTCCTCTCCTATCTTCTGGAGCGTCTCCAAACAATTTTGTTCAACCTTTCCATGACATCCTTCAGACACATCTGTCACATCTCCCTGAAGTCTTCTCTCTTCCAGGCTAAAGATGTCCAACATTTGTCCTCCTTCCAGAATGAAACCAGTGACTCTCAAATCAAGAAATGAATCCTAAGCTCAGGAGGTCCTCACCAAACACCACACCATCTTTTTTGAGAAGGGCCCCTTGCAGGTTCGAGGACACCCTCCCTGTCCACAGATCCCGCACACAAAGCCAAGGGCACCTTTGTGTGGGTGTGAGTCACACCAGCAGCTGCTGCCAAGCTTCCTGGCCCATGATTATAATCTTTGCTGTCCTTCGGGTTGTTTTGTTGAAGGAACTATTCAACGGTGCAGTGGGAAGGGCTCTGGGTAAGGAGAAGAGTCCTTCAAGAAAGCGGCAGAGGGACGGAGAGACGGAGTGGGCATGAAGGACAAGCTGTGAAGTCCAGTCTGAAAGGACCTATAGAGGCAGAGGGTCAACTTATTCTCCAAAGCACCTGAAGGCAGGACAAGAAGCAGCGGATGGAAACTAATCAAGGAGAGAAGCTTATCTGTCTGTCTATCTATCTATCTATCTATCTATCTATCTATCTATCTATCTATCTATCTATCATCCATCCAGCCATCCATCCCTCTCTCTCTCACACACACACACATCTCCCTACCATCCATCCATCTCTACCCACCTACCTACACTCTCTCTGCCCAGGGAAAGGGCCACAATCACCGGTTCCCAGCTGGTCCGACTCCGAGACAGAGGTGCCTAATGTGGCTTGGCAGCTGCCTCCCGCCTTGCATTCCTAGGAGACGCCGGGCTAACTGGCCGTTTAGAAGCCTTTCAGGGCAGATTAGAACTCGGCGCAAGAAGAGGAATCCTCTCCCGTTTGGCCTCCTTGTGACCAGCTGGGCCGAGGGCAGCAGAGCGCCATAGGTGGCCGCAGAGGGGTCAGGCCTTCCCCGAGGAGCAGCTGCTCCTTCCTCTGGCCACATTTTTGGCTTCTCGGCTCTGCTTCCCTCTTAGCGACGGTTTTTGAGGCCAGCCAGGACTGATGAGTGGAGAATTCGCTTTTCTTT